TACCAGGTTCCATGGGACATGTGCATCTCAGCCCCGGGCAACGCTCACCTTCACGCTAACACTTCCTTGAAGTTTGAGCTGCAGTCGGATCATGTCCACCTCTTCCATTGTGCAGAGCTGGTTAAGCTCAGAGACTTTCTTGGACATCTCGTCAATTGCCACTTCAATAGGATTCAGTTCTGTGCTCGACTGGCTTATGACTTGGATTCTCTTCTTCACATAGGGAAACAAGTGGCTGGCTGTGCAGGAGCAACATGAGAGAATGGAAAGGCTGAGGGTGAGTGTAGTCAGGGGTCCCCTGAAGGTACAGACCACCCCATAGGTTTTTTTGCAAACAGCTCATTTGTCCTGCTTGTTTTTGTGCTTACGAGTTATTGTTTATCCTGTGTGCCATGTGCCCTCCCTCCTCTTAGCTTCTGCCCCAGCTACCTTCGCCTGCCATTCTCTTCCACGCCTCCCTAGGCATGTCCTCTTTCTTAGGGCTGGAGTAAAACCTCGATTTTGAGTCATTTAACACTGAAAAGATTATAGCTTCCACTACAACTTGCAGTTCAAGTAGAAACTCCCCTAAGCCACAATAAAGAATGCTTAAATAAATACTGAATGGCCTATGTTATAGTAGCTTTGTTTTAGATTTTATTAGAAAAGTTCTGGAAAAGTTTACTGAAGGAGAATATTCCCCCTAGTTTGGATGTCACTGCTATTTGTCTGTCTATTGCATAATCCAGGATTGCTCATCTCTCACACAGCTTAGGTATCACTAGTCCAGAAGGTCTTTGCTCATCTTTCCCCTCAGTCTACCTTAGGAGTCCCCCTCCTGCGCCCCCATTTCATTTCTCACACTGTGCTCGCCTGAAATTCTTGCTTTACTTGGCTCTTTCGTCGATCAGACTGGGAGCATCTTGAGGGCAAGACTCGTGTTTTATTTCTTTGAATTGCCAGTAGAGTACCCGACATGTAGTAGGCACTTGCTGAAAGTTTGTTGACTAGCTCACAGAATAGGTTTAGACGGTACTGGAAGGGATGGTGACCATCCTCTGCACTCATTTTACAGATGAGGAACCACACTTCCAGAGCGACTTAGGATCTTGCTCTAAAGTACACAATTCTGAGAGCTTCTAATCTTGAATTAACTGAGGATAGATTCAGGGAGAGAGAAGAGTGGCCTTCCCAAGACACGGACACCATGACCTTTGTGACTAAGCTCTACAGGGAAGGGCTTAGTAAAGTAACTACTAACAATTTCTCTTCTGGGTGACTTCTCAAGGGTGTCTTTCTTGACAGATTGTAAGGAAGGGGAAATCTACTCTTCCAGGCAAACGTCCATGGTGGCACATTTGGGGCACTTGTCTGCCAGAGTAAAATGTGCTGATTTTAACTTCTCCATCCCCGTGAAGGGCTTGCATGGCCCCTGGGCGGACTGCACCTACTTGTCAGGATGGTCCTGCGCTTGCACTGCTCCTCCACGCCACCGTGCTTCTTGCCCGACAGCGTGAAGGGTGTCTCAAACACAAAGCGGTTGATGTTGTGATGCATTTCAAAATCCGTCTTCCGGTCCTCTATTTCCTTTTCTTCAAAGAATGGTGTCACATAGGTCACCTGGATATAGGCATATTTGGGGTCCAAATCCTTCGGGTTTACCTATATGAACACATGATCGTGAAAGAAAGAGTGGTGAGCCTAAGGTATTTGGGAAAGAAAGGCAGGAAGCTCTGTGTTCCCTCAACTGGGTTGGGGTGGGGTGGGGAGGGGCTGCCCCTGTTCCCTTGGAGAAAAATGGGCATCATATCACCATGGAAGAGTACCTGCCTGGACTGTGGTCAGGCAGCCAGACTGTGGTGGAGGTAGGATTGGAGCCAGCTGGCCGAGTAGCCGAGGCTCTTTGAAACATAAGCCAGCTTTTCCTGTGCTGCCTTCTGAGACACTCTTCTACCAACTTGTGTTTTGAAGACCTGCCATTCTTGAAACACATTTTCCCCTTTCATGCCACTGTCACTGCATGTGCTGGGCTGCTCAATATGCCCTTTGCTTCCAGCAAACACCTCCTCACCCTGCAATTTCCAGCTCACACATCATCTCTTCTGGGAAGCACTGCCCACACGAGAATGAGCTGGTCAGGGAGCCCCTTCCCTGAGCTTTCCCTGTTTGACTTGCACCATGTCTGCCATGGCTCTTCATTGCACTTTATTTAATTAGCTGTTTGCAGACATCGTTCTCTTCTCAGCTCCATGTGAACTGGGAGATCTTGGAGAAAGAGTCTTTGTACCCCAGCTCCTAGTTCTGGGGATGGCATGCAGTAGGTGCTTAATAGAGGTTGGCTACAGGAATGAAAGCATATTAGAGGATTCTGAATAATATAACCAGAGGATGTAAGCATTGGCTTTCTGGAGCCACCAGAAGATTAATTAGATGCCCACAGGTTAATAAAATGTAACTGGCAAGTCTGCTATTATCATAGAGAATAGATGTCAAAATTGGTATGACCCAGGAAGACCTCCCAGACTGAAGAAATACATTTTTGCTTTTCCTCCAAGTCCACCATTGGGCCCAATCACTTTAAATCTTTGGTTGTTATACAAGTGCAAATAACCGATGGGAAAAATAGGGAACTTAGAGGTTACTTCAATAAACACATAATGTTTTTGCCAAAAATAATCACCAATCAACTAACCAATAAACAAACAGGCAAACACCCAAAATGATTATTAATTTTCCTCTACCTTGTTGGAATCCTGTATTATCTTCACGTTGTCTGCTCCGAATTTATCTGCATACAGCTTGAGCAGTCTTTGGGAAATCTCTGATAGACCTGTCAGCTTAGGCTCTTTATAAATGTACTCTTTACCTTCTTCTTCTTCAAAAAAACCCTATGGAAGATACATAAGAAACCATCAACTTTATTAGAAAACTCCAATTGCACATCACAAGCAAAACAAAAACCGTTTATCCATTCTTTTGGTTGTCATCCAAGCCACTAACTAGCACCCTATAAAGTCAAAATCAGAGAAAAGCCAAGTGAAGAAAACAAAATATCATGCTAGAATCAGTCATTAACGGAAACACTCCCTCACCAGGCCAAAGAACCTCATAGGATATCTTAAAATATTTTCTCTATTTGTAGAAATCAATGGTAATATCTGCTGCATATATTTTGGGGGAAGGATGCCCTCATGTGGCAGCCTGGGGTAGAACACACAGTCTGGAATAATTGGCATTTTTTCAAAGAGCAGTGTCATTTTTTAACTAAGTCTTCTCGAAGTCTTCGAAGCTAGCACAGGAAACCCTGAGGGGCACGTAAAGGTATCTACGTGGGTGGATATGCACCCACATCATCTTAAAGAGCTGCAGCACTGGTATTGTAATCACAGAAATTGCATGTGGCAGGCTCCCAAGTACTGTTATTTAAAAAAATAACTTTCCATTAAGTCTGGGGCCTGATGCAACTTGGCTATATGCAATTTCATCATTCAATTTGCTTTCCTAGTAGATCTTCTTTTTTTTCTTTGCAAAGCTAGACCCATTTAGAATAGAAAATAGTAAAGCAACCAATTGTGCCATCATTTTTATGTCGTAGGAGCAAGTAGGTCTTAGCCTCTATTAATTTATCTGTCTGGTTGGAAACAGGGGGAGAGAATATTCCATTATCTGCGATAACTAAGTGAGGTGATCTTTATAATTCCTTCCCTTTGAAGAGACACGGGGCATTTTTCCTGTGGGACATGTGGCCTCCGACTATTGGGTTAAATCTGGAGTTAAGATTCCAAGTGTGTCTGTTTCTTTGACTCAGAATTTACCTCAAGGCTATGGCTGTTGAGAGCCAGCTGAAGACAATGGAGGTCACAAAGAATCTTAGCTGTATTTTTAAAAATACTGTTATTTTTGACTATTTAAAAAGATTCCTTATATATAAAATACATGGATGAAATGTTCCCATGTTGGACTTTTCACAGCCAAAGTGAGGTGAGAATAATAATTAAACTCACATCTGTATGGCGCCTTTGTACTTGAAGGCACTTTTACCCATGTACACTTGACCATCATGAACAGGGTACTTTGCATGATAAGAGGGACACAACTGTATATTTGTAGAAGCCAAGGAACAAGGCACATTTGCCAGCACAGATCTTGTCAAGCACGAAATTAATTGTCTGTTTCCTTGTGCACTTCCCGAAATGACTTTGGGCTTTTCAAAGTCAGGAAAGTGTCTTGTTCAACATGGTATGTGTAGTGTTTAGCACGGTGCCTGGTCTTTAGGGGGATGTCATTCTACATTTGTTAAATTAATAAACTGAAGAATAAAACAGTTCTGGTGGGCATACATCCTAAAAAGGTATGTGTGCACCAGGTATAAATAGAAAAGATTGTATTGCTTTAAAGAACAGTTTTTAATTGAACAATTTCTTTAAGAAATGTTCAAGACGAAACACAGATGATTATGAGTAACTTGACCCTCAACTGCCAAAAAAAAAAAAGTGATGCATGATTGTTGAAAGCATGAAAAGTAGCTCCCTGTTGTTCCTCTAGACTTTGTAGGAATGGTGAGGTCTGGCCCCATTCCCACATGACTTCCAGCTGCTGTTTTTCTGTCTTTGTGGAGTTTTGTTTTATTCAAGGTCAGAAGTAGTGGCTAACATTGACAGACTGACACATCACAGAAGTAAGACTTCTGAGGCCATCAACCAGAATCCCCCCAGGGCAATAGCTAAAGCAACATTTACAACTTCCATTCCAGTGAGAAAAATGTTTCCAAGTCCCAGGAAAATATTTTCTCACCACACTGTGAAAACCAGCACAAAGAGACATTTTCACTGTGAATTCTTGCCCCTCACAACTTTCTGAATTTAGAATTAGAAGGAGTGTGGGAAGCAAGATTTTATTGTCATTACGATGACCTCTGTCTTTTTGGTCATGACCTGTGACTTTCTCTCATCCCTACCCCTTGGTCTGGAGGATGGGAAATAGACCCAGAAATCTATGGAGAGGTCCTAAAGACAGTGCCTGGGACATACAGGCCTGTGGTGAATGTCACCTATCATGAGCAGAATTAGGAGGATGTCAATAAAAAAAAGTTTGTGTCAGCAAAGCAATTTGAGTTCTGATTCATATGCAGGGAAATAGCTTGACTGAGTTTTGAGAACTTAAAATACATACCTTCAGCTTCTCTTACATAGAAACTATACTTTCCTTATTAGAAAAGTCTACTGATGCTCATTTCAATATTTTGGTTATGGGATTGATCAGAAAGAAATGGTGATTAAAATCTATCTATCTATCTATCTATCTATCTATCTATCTATCTATCTATCTACCTACCTACCTACCTTCCTAGCATGGAGATATAAACCTCTTGAGACTATTTTATAAAATCACTAAAATGGAGCTGGAGTAACAGAATAAAGTATTTCATCTGCTGTTTGCCAGGGTTGTAAGAGGGTTTGCAGCCAGAGAAATAGCAGCTCTGAAAATGTTGGCAATGCGTGCTTACCTTTTACCCAAGGAAACCATCAAAGCCAAACCCACTGAACCTTAAAGGTAGGACACTACCTTAAAGAAGGCTTCAATTTCAGCTCTGTCTATGAAATAAATGATTTATAAACAGGGACAAAAGGTGATGAGGACCCAGGGACAGTTTCTCTTTTGTGTTAGCCACAAGGTCATGAGTGCACTGTGTTTCAAGGCAACAGGAAATGTGACCTCTGCATTTCTCTTGCTAGTTTCATGTTTTAAAATGTCATTTTACAATGCAATAAAAACCCTAGTCTGTCTTATTCTCAGGAAACAGCACACATTCTACTTAAACAAGGACTCTGATTCAGTAGAGTTTACTTGCATGGATTATGAAACTTTAATAGATTATGATAAAAATGTACTTCAATAAACTGACACCTAAAATTATTGACCCCTTGGATATTTTTGCAGGTATTTCAGAATCACTATTGGGATGTCAGATATAAATGCTCCCGATGTTACATTCGATTGATTCCAAGGTCGTAAAGGAATGCACTGAAAGAGGAATCAGTGAGTAAAAGATGGGTCAGAAAATATTAATAATGGGCTAAATGCTAAGAGAAGAAAAACTACAAGAATGCCGAGAGATGGTTCCATTTAAATATGAACTCAGTTACACATATATGTTGTCTATATCAGTGACTTTCATATGGGTGGGGAGCCAGAAGGTTGTATCACATCCCCAACTATACATGTACCATACCTCCTCACCCAATCCCTTTTCTATCAAGATTCTGAGATGCATCTACAGCCACATAAGCATGGTTGAGAATCAAGGAATCTACATCCTTTGGTGAATGGAATAAAATTCCCCAGGCCTTTCACTTAACTCATTCCAGGGGCATCTGCTGTTTTAAGTTATGCAATAGGCACTTGCTTGCTTGCTTTCATGCTAAATATTAGAGCCTAAGATTTCATTGATGACAGTTGATGTTTGATCACTACTGCTGCTCATTTTTCTTTAAATGAATATTTCAAGGACACTCTGGAGCTGCTTTCTATAGGCTGTTCTATATAAAATTTCCATAGGCATTGATATCAGATGTTGCATCAGAAAATTCATGTTATGCAAGACTTATGTTTTTAAAGTTTCTACTTGTTTTGTCATGTCTGGCTTATTGCATACATCATATTAACTACTCCAGCCAGTACTGTAAAATGCAAGCATCAGTTCAGCTGGGACCCTAAAAGATTTAACCAAAGGCCTTTGTGGAGGCAACGGGTCTATTGCATATGCTATTTGCATAATTTTTTTGAAACATGATTACAAGACATGTCTATCTGGATATTAAAAGGTGAATTTTACACAAACAAGCATCAGTCCAGCTGGGACCCTAAAAGATTTACCCAAAGGCCTTTGTGGAGGCAACGGGTCTACTGCATATGCTATTTGCATAATTTTTGAAACATGATTACAAGGCATGTCTATCTGGATATTAAAAGGTGAATTTTACACAAAGTACCATCATAAAAAAGGAATTATTGTTGACCATGGGGATTATGCTAATCAAGTAGTCAGGACTTTATCTTAGATCTTCGGAACCTTCATTCTGCACACGTTTGGGGCACTGTCCAAGCCTATTTAGTATTTCCTTATCATCAAATGTGAAGTGAAGTGCACTGTCCGCTCCTGCCCAATGAATTAGCTCCCATCTCCATTTGGGTTCTTGGGGCAGGCATCTGAACATCATTTGAACAATGATGACCAAGGCTCTACATTGCTGCTTATCAGGACGACCTCCATTAGTCTCCCTTGGTCAGGAGTGGCTGGGGTTTGAACTTATAGAGGATCCGCTTAGGCGCGTACTCAGGTCTGCAGATTCACAGACCATTTTGCCCTTTAATAAAATCTCAAATTGGAATTTTAAACAAAAGATAATTGAGAAGACTGGCAACATTAAAAAGGAAAAGCCAGGTGCACAATCAGCACACTTTATAGAGGAATCTGCAAAAAGAACAAAGTTAAGTCATTTGAAAATAGCTCTCCCCAATCCTTCCCCGTTGTCCCCTCAGTCTATTTAGTATAGGGATTTTCAAGTATTCTTTTAGTAGGTGAGTTAAGGACCCATGACCCCAAATTTATAAGTGAAGGTAGAAAATACTGATGTGGTATGGATGTGGGAAGGGACTTAAAGAATTACAAAAAAGTATGTACCAGACAAGCACAGTTGAATGTGGCCAACATGTGGATATTGCAAGAATTTGTCTTTCTACTTTAATCAATAATAATTATGTTGAACCACATGAAGTTGCCATCTTTTCCCCAGGAAAGTATGGTTGAATATGGGCAATTTCATATGGTTCAAAAGGATGCAAAGAAAATTCTATGTCACAGAGCTCTAGGTACTGGCATGTTATTTCTGTCTCTGCTTGTCCTCCACATTTCTTACATTGCTTCTTTCCGCATCTCAGGAGACTTAACCTGACCTCCTGGGTAAAGATTTAGTCTACTGTTCATCTTCTGTGTTGGGAATTAATACTATTACCTTTGAGAATACTCAGAGCCAGCACAATAGAGAACCCTGTTACTCCACAATACTCATTTGGAAAATGGCAGGCTCTTTTAGGAACCTGGGAAGGCGCCCATCAATGGCCACCACTCCAAGTTTTGAAATTCTGAGCACCCCCCATGCTCTATTTCATCAGCCAGAACACAGTGGCCTGAAGTGAGCAGGCAATACCCAATACTGAGTCTACTATCCATATGTGGTTTCCATATTTATCTATGTGAGTGTGTGTGCATGTATGTAGGTTTTCAGACTACACCTACCGTAGTGCAGAAGATATTATATATGAAAAATAAAGGATACATTTTTGTAATTCAGATAACTGGAGTAAACAAAGTTTAGTTCAAGGAAGCAGGATGACTCCCAAATGAATGGAAGCAGGATTATCTCACCTTTGTACCAAATGTTGATTGGCACAAAAAAGTTAAGGTTCAGTAAAACCATATAGAAGGAAGTGTGAGAATTTTTAGAGCATGCAAATGGAGTGAGAAAGAGAGAACTTACCACAGCCTGGAACAGTCAATACCAAAAGAAGAAAAGAGTAAACATCTGCATTAAAATCTGGTTGGAAAGCAGCCTAATTCATTTCCACCTGTTCAGTAGCCAGTATGTTAGGCATTGGTTGGAGAAACTACCAGGTAGGCAATCTGGTTTTCATGATCAGAATATCAATGGCAGTCATTAAAAAGATCCTTTGAAGGACTGTAGACTCAAATGCAGGCTGGCTGATGTGCATCTGTGTGTCCCTGCTGTGCTGCCATTCATTCCCTGGAGACTCTCCCCCACAGGCCCTCAACTCCCACATCCCCTTCCTGATGTGGTTTTCTGCCATTTTTCTTGCTAATGTTTCAGCAAGGTCAAAAATGTTTATTTTTTGTTTCTTGTTCACTTTCAAGAAATCCCTTCCATTTCTCTCTCCTCCTCTTCTGCAGATCCCCACATTTCTCTGTCCCCAACATATTCTATCACTTCAGAGAGTTCAGATTCTTTTCCAGGGACCCCCCAAATATATAAATTTAGCTTCTTTCTGTAGACCATCTCCCCACATCTGTTCCTCATACTACTAGCTTTCTCTGATGCTGCCATGCTGTGGGAAAACCTGAGCTGGATCAATTTCTTTTAATTTTTTATTGATTTCAGAGAGAGAGAGAGAGAGAGAGAGAGAGAGAGAGAGAGAGAAAGAGAGAGAGAGAAAGAGAGAAACATCAATGATGCAAGAGAATCATTGGCTGCCTCCTGCATGCCCCCTACTGGGGATCGAGCCTGCAACCCAGGCATGTGCCCTTGACCAGAATCAAACCCGGGACCCTTCAGTTGCAGGCTGATGCTCTATCCACTGAGCAAATCCAGCTAGGGCTGGATCAATTTCTTTATAGTAAGTGGTTACTCAGTGACATTTTCCTTTCCTGGTATAGAGCAGCTATCTTGACTAATTCAGAAATTAGTTTTCAAGCTGTCTTTGGTGACTAGAGGAAAATATCTATTTTTTCTAGAGACTTCAATGAGAAATGATCTAGAATGACCATGCTGCATGTGACTCCTTAGGCAATTCTGAGGAGAATAAGAGCTATGTGCAATAGTGCCTTACATGGTGGGGGGAGAAAAAAAAAGAAACAAGGGAACCGAGAGTCATTCCAACTGTGAACAAACAAGAATGGAATGTTTATCCACAGTCATAGTCTGAAGTATGTCTGCTGAAATATAAGAGTGTATAAACCTCCCTGAAAAGAACAGGATGTTTCCTGGGTCTATCCCACTTAAAGTACCAGTCAGAGATATTCAGAATTAATATGTAATACATTCACTTTATTTTCAGGCAAATGCTATGGCTAGCTAATATTTTCCTTCTTGTTCATTGTGTATGTAGTTAACTGAGAAAGGGAACTTAAAAATTACATTGACCTGTAATACAGGAAACAATAGTGTTCTGCATAAAAGTAGTGATAGTTTGAAAGTAGGGGAAAAGAAAATGCATGATTATAAAGTCTAAAGTTCATGGCTTTGATATGGTGGAGCTCCTGGAAATTATTTATTTTTTACAAAGCTATGAATTTCATTTCTTAAAACATGATGAATTTAATTTGACTTAGAGGCAAACCTATAATTAGATATTTTGGGGTGAAATGGGAAGAAGACACGGAAAAATAAATGCCTTTCTTCTCCAAGAAGTTAGAAATCACTGTTTTAACTCAATCTGTATTAAGAGCCATGGAGTTATCTACCCAGTACCTTCCTATGGACAAACATATAGAATCACTCAGAGAAACAAACATATCTAGACACATCCACACCCACACCCCTTAAATCCTTTGACACATGGAGTTAGATGTCTCATGAAGAATGAAAGGACAGCATTCAACTGCTCAACAGAATTCACAGGTCATGCTGCCTCTAGGGAACTTACCTGCCCATAAAATGCCACGCGGTAGTACCGACCAAACAGTCGCTTCTCTGAATTCACCACCTCCGCAACTTTCAGATAGGACCGGTGAATGTCGTAGTAAAGGTCCGATAATTTCTGAAACCATAAATCAAAGGGTCTCAAGCGATGGTGCCCACATAAACAATAGGGAGTTTCTGCTTTTGAAAATAATAAGCAATTGACCCATTGAAAGTAGGATGTTGTCACTAATGTCTAGGTTTTGAAAACATACTTTGAAGTCTCTCTGCTTCTCAAAGACAGCAATGATGGGCTTGTTGACATCAGCGATGAGTTCGTATCTCTCAGACTTCCAGAGAAACTCCACACACATGTATAGCTGCTCCACCAGGACATGCTGTAGTTCCTCAAACCAAAGCAAGACCTTTTATGAGTTCCACTGTAGCTTATCACTGAAACTTGATTTCAAAACTGCTGCTGTCAATTTTTTCATGGTGGGATCTCTGTGTTCCCTATTTTTGTTATTAGCATTTACATCTAGCCAGCAAGGGATGGTGATGTCATCTGGATTATGCCCTTTCCCTCACTCGCATCCCCTGATCAATTCCTTAATCTTGCCAATTTAAATCTAAGAAATGCCTTCAGATTTGCCTAGTCCGTTCTATTCTCACTGTCCACAACTTCCATTGAACCCCTGCTCACTCTGAGACCCCTGCAGAGTCTTCTAGATAATCTGTCTTCCCACTCCAATTTGTCCTCTGTGATGCTCTTCAGTCATTCTTCTTTCTAAAACATAAATATGATCCTGAGATCTCCACTGCCCCAAACCTTGGTGGGACCCCCCCTCTATGAACTGCTGTCCCAACTCTCTATCATGGCATTCAAAGAGCTCCAGAGTCCAGCACCAGCCTCCGCCGCAAAGCCCCTCTCTCAGCGCCCCGATGTTGACTTTGCCTGTTGGCTATATCAGACCATACCACACCATTTTTAGGATATATTCTCACCTTCCCACTTTTGCCTGTTTTGTTTGTTGCCACACCTATCAGAATGTTATTTTTCATTGACATTTTCAAGTCCTATTAAATGTCAAGACCCCAGTGCCAAAGTCTAGAGAACTTTTATTTATGTCCCATCTATCTCCATCCCAACCACATTCACATAAAAAAATGTTCCCTTTTAATTATGGCCACATATGATGCCTGGAGTTATAGTTAATGGGTCTCAGACTGGATACTACCCACCTGAAGGAAGTTTGTCTTTCTCAAGGTTCTAAACTCTTTGAGAGCAGGAATTATGTCTGATTTATCTGTCTCCCACCTTTAATTCAATGCTTTACATATATTAGTGGTTTAATGAATGTCCAACTGAATCCAATTATATATTCTCTAAAGCAGGGTAATATTATTGGAATGTTTCTAACAATGTCTTTTAAGAAAATATTTTTAAATATTATTTGAAACAGTTAATACAAATATGTAGTTGCATTCACTGTTTACTTGCAATATACATTAAATTTAGGTAGAACTACATGTAAAATTTCATTAGATCCATCCCACAATTTGCTTTCTGTATTCTTACTTTCAATCTATGTAATAGGATTTTAAAAAATTAACTTGTGTAATATTTTACTTACTTGATGAGGGGAGCTCTAGTTTCTTCACCAGAATTGTTTCTAGGTTATTCCCAGTAGAAAGACTTTTTATTAGTGAAAATAAAACAACCCACGGTTTGCATACCAGAAGGTTTTCTGCAGAAATTAGTGAGCCCCTCTCTTCAAATATTTTTGCAAATAAACTTTCTAATGTATTTTTAAAAAGTTATAACCAGCTCACAAAAATTTCAGCATCCCTTACCACATTTACCAAAGGACCAGAGATTTGGTATCTTATAGATGAGCTGATCATATATATTTGGGTCCATTTTAGAGAAGTAAAGTTTAGTTTAAATTTTCATTGAAAATGATGCTTTCTCAATGAAGTCTGATATTGATTAATCTCAGCTTAATTTTAGCCTACATTTCATTTTGCCTCAGTCATATTATAGAGTAACTTTATTTGATTTCTGAATAAGACTTTCTCCCTGCTATTTAGCTTTATATTACAATTCAATGCATCTTTTTTACTCATTTACTGTACATTGGATTACTTTGGTCTAACCTCATTGTATGGTGTGTCTTGCATTCCCGAATCTTCTTTCATTGCTCCTTCTTCTTTAATATTTGGGGTAATGCTCAGAAAAGCTGGCCAGCCCATAGAGAACATGCCTGGAGAGGACCAAGAGAAATGTAACATTATTTGAGTCAAGTATTGCTTGGATTAGACAATGCCTTGCTTCATGATGTTCCAAGTGGTAGTGTAAAGCTCACGGTCAGTGAGATGGTTGGACCATGATGGTTGGTAAATACTCCCTGCCAGGCAACCAATGCCAGCCTTTTGTAATTCTGTATTATTTGCAGGTGATACCTTTTCTATAAGAAGCTGGCATGGGATTATGGACCGAAAACAAGATTTGTAGATTGATGTAGTTCCAATGTTCTAGTTTAGTTAACCTCTTTGAGACCGTTTCTCCCATTTGTTATACTGGAGACATTGATATCCATCTCAACAAATGGGTGAAAGGATTAATATTTGAGAAAACACCTGTTATGGTCAATACATTAGGATGGCAATGCTCAATACTCACTAACTTTAACTCTTTGGCATTGTCTAGAAACCTCCTTAAACTTTTTGTTAGCATTTTGCCACCAAGATTATAAAAAGGTCATGCTCTGCAGATATATATGGAAAGAGTTGATAATGGGTCATGTTCCTAGAGGAGGGATCAGATCTGAATGGTGGGGAATAGAGTGGTTAGGAGCACAGCCTGGGGTGACAGACCAGTCTTGATCTCTGGCCACCACAAACTAACCATGAGCTCTGAGGCAGGTTGTTTTACTGCTCTTGATTTTCTCATTTGTAAATGGGAGGTAATAACAGCACCCAATTATAGACTTGTCATTGGTAACTAATTCAGGTATTGTCAGTATGGAGCCTAGTGCTGTGCCTCACATGGAGCACATGCTTTGTAAGTTACAGCTGATGCTCCTGTGGGTGTTTTCATTTTAATAATCAGTTCATTGGCTATGTAACTAAATTATCAACCCAGGACCTGTTAAAATTATAATTATAATAATTACTGCAACCGAATCCTTGAATTAAAATTACATGCTCCTACTTCTCTATAATATTCCTTCCATAATTAAACATGCATTAAAATACATGAGAACTGATGGTAGCAGGAAATGTCATGACATACTTCTTACAGGAAGCTGATCATTATTACAGCTCTATTTCCTGGAGTCACCTATATTTACTTATATTCTTATTATTCACACATTGTATGAGAGATAGTCTACCTCCTTGACTTAGAAACATTGTAACAAAAAGTATATTGAGGATTTCAAATATATATATATATATATATATATTAGAGGCCCGATGCATGAAATTCGTGCAAGGGGCTCGGCCCCCACCCTCGTGGCGGCTGCCTCTATCTCAGCCCCCACCCACTGCGGCTTCGTCTGGAAGGTCATCTTGAAGGACATCTGGTTTAATTAGCATATTATGCTTTTATTATTATAGATGCTACTGCCTCATAAATGACTACCTTCCTTAATTTAAAGTTTACTAAACAAATACATTATTTTCTCAATGAGTATGATATATTCTAATATTATTTTAGATCTAAAAGTGGGTATTTAAAAGTTTTTGAATATTAAAGGTTCACACAAGTTTTTGGGATCGAAGTTTCTACAACTTCTCAAACTGACACCTAGTTTTATCAGGTTTCTCCAATTTAGTCTTTTAGCTAGAATTTGACATAGGCTTTATGGAATTGTAGAGTATCTGATTATGATTAAAAAATTAGATGGGGAGGAAGCGCATGTTAAATAAAACAATGATAACTTTGGTGACTTGCATATAAAAATAAAGCTCAACAGGGAGTGGCAACTGAGGAAGGAGATCCCTAACTTTCAGTGTGGGCATGAACCATGGTGCCAGGTCTGGTCTCTTCTCCAAGGTCCCCAAGCAAATGACCTCACTGTCCACAGTTCACCTTGGTCACTGGGTTCAAATGTCTTGTTTGCAAAATCCACTGAAGCTTTTTAGAAAATATATACATATTTAAAAGATTGAGGAACCAATTAAGCTCCCAAAATATTGTAACTAAAGTCATTTACCTTTTGTTTGGGTATTTTGATCTTTATACCTAAAGATTTGTTCCTGTTTTTTAATACACTGAGTTTACCACAGCTTTTTGAAGATTAAGTTATAAAATAGATTGCAGTTCATAAACTTTGGGTTTGAACAATTTTGCAAAAGAAACCAGATTAAATGTGTTAACTACATTGCCAATTAGTTTACAGAGTAATTATTTAGTTATCATTATAAAATCATTTTATAAGAAATTAAAGATGAAGTATTTTTAAAGGAAATCAATATTGTTAACTATTACATATTGTAAATTGTCAGAACCAGTTTATGCTTTTAAAAAGGAAATTTAACATGCCAATTATAAGTATAGTCCTGTATATGCACTATATTTGTATGTTTTCATTTCTGCATCCCTTTATTGGACTTATTTTATTATATTTCAAAATGAAAATGGATTTCTCTTGTCATTTTAAACAATCCATCAGTTTCTGAATAAAATCCCAAAGGCAGACTAGCAGGCAAATTGGTAGCAAAATAGGGCCACAACTCATAATAATATAGGATAAGATGCAGCTATATTTGCTGAAAACTTTTTGGTAACGTAAATTGCATAAATTTTGGATGGATGGAATTTCTGAATGCTAGGAACTTTGGGATTTTGCAGAGTAAGTAATGTAGGTCTGACATGGTTTTTGCTTCCAGGAATACATTTAAGAATTTCGTTGAAGTAAAGCTTAAGCGCAGTTTAATGTCCTCTGCACTGTTCCGTGGGTAAAGGAGCTGTTAGACCACTCACTTCCTCCACCGGGACTGGTTAGTAATGGGTTGCTATCGCAGGGGTGCATATCCTCCATGAGCAGGGATGGTGTGCAAATCTTTTCCGTTTTCCAGTAACCTATGGTAGTGCAAGATGAGGTTAGGACAATGCTACATGTTTGGGTTAATTCAAGCTTACAAAACCATAAATCATTAACCTAACCAAGAAGCTGACCAGTTAGCCTTGCACATAGAATAAACATAATAATGGCATGAAAGAAAGTTAAAACTTAAAAGTGTAACGTAATTAGAAATATCTGTGAATATTAATGTTGCTTAATAAAACATAACCAAGATTAATAAAATCTAAAATTATTTTAAGTTGGATTTCAACATGTTGATTTCTGGACTTTTTCTCCCTCATAAGGTTGGTCATCTTACCCTTTCTTTTCAGGTATTCTGCAATGAGGGCGGCTATATGGATGTAGCACATAGCAGCCTGCAATAAAACACAAACAGTGTCAGAGGAGGATGCAGCACCCATTTTACTATTTGTCTAATTAGGACTAAAGTCATGTCAGAATGTGTGGAGGAATCTTTTAAGTAAGAGAATTAAAGGTAATCAATTACATTTCCAAAAAAATTCACAATCAAAAATAAAATGCATACTTGGGATTGTCTTTCTTGATGTAATTCTCAGGAAGAGCTGGCCTGAAGAATTTTCCCAAAGATTTATCTCCCTTAATATCTAAGTTTCTCTCTCTCTTAGTATTTACAGGGGTGGGCAAAACTAGTTTGAGGTTGTTCATAAGGAAAAAGACATGCAGGTTATGATTATTACAATAGCTGAATAAACTCTGTATTTCGCGTACTCAAAACTACAAACCTATTTTTTGCCCACCTGTATGTATGTATGTAGGTATTTATATATTTCCACAGTTCTCTTTTTTTGTGAAAACTATTAGCATCTGGATCTAAACTGGAAAGGCAAATGCTGCCTTCTTACCTTTTCTACCTCCAGGATAGGTCCTCACTCGAATATCTGTTGCCTTTCAAGTGGTTGCCTCACTTGGTTAAATAGTGTGACCTAATGTGTCACGTGTGCTCCCTCCACCAGATGACATGGACAACATTCTATTCTTCTCTAACATATCCTGTCAAGCCTTGAACATTGCTGGACACCTACCAGAACTTGACAGGTTGAAGGGTCCAAATGACTTTAGCTTTTCCCTTTGAAGTTTTATAGAGGAACATTTCCATTTTTACAGCAGTCCAAGGGAAATAGAGTTTCGCATTTTGTCCTCACCAAAAAGCCACCAAGCAAGGCTTTGTTTCTATCCCAGAGTCCCTTGCAAGCATTGTTAGGGCTTTAGGATTACCTAGACAAATTATCTCTTCCCAAAGGGTGAATATTTCTGGGAATAAGGCAGAACTTCCCCATTTGGTGTCCGGAAGCCATCTGCGTGCCGTGAATTGCTGCTCATAAATCCACCCATCATTTAAATTGATATAGAAATGTTCTATTGATTTATAACCTTCACACAGTGGACCCTCTTCACTCACTTGGATCTCAGGAGGCTTAATTTTTACGTCACCAGTTCAGACTAGCTGCAAATGAGGACAGTTGACCCTAATCTGAATTTACTCACCATGCTGGCAAGCTTCCCCATCCAACTCCAATTACAGGGAAGAAGTTTTAAAACACAGACCATTAATTTATATAACTCTTAATTTCCAGACACCCTTACAGCCTCGGGTGTGTAGAATTCAGCTCTGCATTCATTGCATAGCCTATAATTACAGTAGTCCCTGCAGACTCTGGTCTTTATTTGATTCCTACATGCAACTTTAATGCACATAACATATAGTTAAGCAATATTTAGAATTACAGTTGTCCCTACAGACTCTGGTCTTTGATTCCTACATGCAAATTTAATGCACATAACATATAGTTAAGCAATATTTAGATTAGTGGAAATATCTGATAACTTTTTATATTCCTGCTGTGAATGAAAATCCAATTGAACTTTATCAAAGGACAATGCTGATGGAGAATGACAGCCCTTGCCAATCACCTCGGACAAGTCTCCGTTTCGAGCGTGAATCTTGGCCATGCTTTCCAACCAGGTCCTCCGTAGCTCAGGGGTGCTCGCATAGGAGTTTGCCAGGCTGTACTGGAGATCCACCAGCATCTCGGGGTCCTTCTCATGCTCCTTCATCTGAGCCGTGGCCATTAAAACAGTCCTTATACGTTTAGTCAGGTCTTTCACCTCTGCTGGGAAATTGCTGTTCTTTGGAAAAGAGAGAGCCTGAGTCATAACCTGCTTAGAATTCAGAAGTGAGGCTATTAATTGTGGTTTGTCATCTCAGTTTGGTGCATCCTATATATTATTCATAAATATGTACATTCTTTATACATGCATATTTATACATGCATATATACATGTTGTGATTGTGGTTATACACATTGGAAGATAAGAATTGTTGTAGGCCCTGCTCTTTGGTTTTCTAGCCCACCTCCTTCTAGTAATAGCATCTTGATTGTCCTTTGAAATGCTCTCCTCTCAGGCTCATGTGTATATGATTTGAGTGGGTCGACATCATTCCCAGGCACCAGGGGTGGCACATGATACTGGCCTGGCCAATCACATTATTTGATTTCCCAGGCAACATTGATTGGTTTAGGGAAGGGCATATGACACAAGGTAGGTTGAAGGAGATTCAGTACTGGGACTTCAATTGGCACTATGGAATGAGGTGCTTTTTCCACTCAAGGAATACTACCAGAGAGTAAACTCATGGGAGAGCTCTCCTGTAAATTGAATAAACACAGAGGAAAGTTGAACTGAGAGGTAGGGAGACAGGCGAAAGTAGAGGCAGTAGGAGGAGGACATCTGAAAACATTATTTTGATCCCTGCGTTTAGCCATGCCCAAAGCCAGGCTTTAGACCTGGACTTTTCAATGTGCTGACTAAAGGAGAAGTCTTTGGGAAGTCCCCCCCCAAACAACAACAACAACAACAACAAAGATAAGATAAATTTGGCTAAGAATGGAATTATAAGAGAACCATTGGATTTCTGGATATTTGTAGTAACTTTTCTTGTTACACACCATTCAATCACACATCTTGGAAATTACACTTAACAGATTATATTCTGAAAGTGTTAAGAGCCGATTATCAGTTTAAAGAAGCAAACAATGTAAGTGATGTCTCAATAAACAAAATACCAAATTTGTATTTTTTAAAATGAGTTAGATATCTCACAAAAACAATCAGTTTAGTTTATTCCTAATTATTTAAAAATCCCACAAAACATTTCTTACTTTCATTTGTTTGTCTCCATTAGCAAAATTATTGGTAATTGCAAGGGAATGTTGAAACCGAGAGCCTCCAATCCCAGCGTCAGCTATTAACTGGCTTACGGCCTTGATGAGCTGAAAGAGAGAAGAAAAATGAAACCTCAAAAGTAAGTAATCAAGAAATAGGAGTTATAAAGAAATCCATCGGATTAGTTGAATGTACCATTCACTTCTCCCTCTAGAGCCAATGAATGATATCTCTCTGTTTTAAATCTTTAAAGGCCATGCGATCCTGGGCTTTTCTTATAAACTTAAATACTTAAGGAAGGTTGTAAGAACCTTAGGATGCCTTGAAGAAAGAAATGTATGCATTTAGAATCTGGTAAGATTTGGCATCGTAGAGATAGGCCCGGGTACCTGACTTGTGTATTCTGTATGACTCTATTCCCTGGCTGAAGCAAGAACAAGTCCAGGTGGAGTTATGGGCTTTGCTGGCTTCTGCCCAGCTGCCCTCTGCCCATGAATCAGAACTGAATGTGATGGGCACCTTTAAGGGCAGAATCTGGAGGAGGAGTTGGTCACTGGTTGCCCTGCGGACAGCAGGCTTCTATCAATGCTGAGACAGAGTCGTGGCATTAACAACAGCGCTAATGAAAACTGGCAGCACTTACTTGTAAGTGGGATCGGACAATTGACTTCTGCTTGTTAAATTCAAAATTCTTCCTCATGAAAAAGTACAGAAGTGCTGACGCTTCTGTCTGAGTTGACCGTGACCTGTGGTTACAGCACTTTAGGACTTCATAGCAGAAGGATCCACACAGGTCGGCAGGCCCTTGGAAGAACGCTGAAGGAAACTGTGGGAATGGAAACACTGGTGAGGTCAGCCCTGTTCCTTCATTGTCTCAGTCTTTTTCTTTTATTTGCAAGTGGGAGAGGATATACTTTTGCTTGTTGAAGTCTATCTTAGTATTTCCTTTTTTTCCCTAAAAATAATAGTTTTCTATCTTTTAGGTATCCCTTGCATAAATAACTAGATAACCCAAAAGCGTAGAGCGAGAGCTTGGACATGTTTTCTACTTACCCAACATTGTAAACTGCAGGGGCCCTAAGAGTTCATAGCTGTTGCTACTTCAATGTGGACCTTTAACTTGGCATGAATGGGCATCACAGTTCACTGTGTGCATTTTACCTAACTCTGCCACAAACACTTACTCAAAGAATTGGTGGCCAGATGTTAATTTTATTCCCTTCTGATATCCAAGCCAAAAGGCTGTCAAGGCTGTGAGCTTATTTTGAGATCTTCAATCAAAGATTTAATAAGACCAAATAAATAGTCTAATAAAACCAAATAAGCCAAAATAAAAAAATAATATTTTCTCTCCATACCAAAAGTTGCAAGGATTAATATGCAATTATGATCATCCTTTTCTGAGTTTCGCTGGAAGCTGGAGCACCCTTACCTTGCATACAAACAGTCTGAGGGATGCAAACACATGCTTTAGCGCTGTGGCTGACTGGTTGACTTGGAAAAAGAGCATGTAGGTATCGAAGACTCTTTTCATTAATGAATTTTGACATTCAGATTGTTGGAGTTGTCTCTGGAGATTTAACACAGAAGTTATTTAGGATGAGGAAAATGACACCTGTGTTCTTTCAAAAGATATTTGTTGTGAACCTATGGAATGGTAGGCACAATTCTGGGTGCTGGACATAAAATGCTGACTAAGAGG